GATCGACTTGGTCTTGATTCTCAGGAACTTTCGTAGTTTCTTGCGAGTGATGAACTTCGTCTGGACACCAGCCTCGTCAACGACACCCATCGTGAACATCTTTTCCACGACAGTGCCTCTGCTCCCGGTACTGCTGCTATCTCCAGCCTCTCTTACAGTACCGTCGCGTTTCGACAAGTCCAAGTTGTCCTTCATCGCCGAACCCTTGCCGGCTGACGCGTCTCCTGGTTGTTCGGAAACAACTCTTGGGCTCTCGTTCTGCGTTGCGTCGCAAACAGTTTCAACCGCGGACTTCACATCCGTTTCCAGCTCGGCACCTCGACAGGAATCGGGTCTTTTCCCCGATAGGCCTTTCGCCTCGACAGATCTCCGAAGCCTGGAGGAAATCACCGGTCCGCCTTCCTCGATCAGTCCACAGGCCTCCCCTGTTTGTTTCCAATGCAGAGTCTTCACTTGCGTTCCTTCGATACGTCGACCTCTCCAGTCGATCTGCGGCTGCGTATTCTCGAAAAATGGGATTCCAAGGATGCAGTCGAATTCGTCGGGTATGGCGTAGACGACAGCAATACACTTGTACACCTCGTCCAACCCAGACACCATGATTTCGAGGGGAAGTACCTCCAGTTCCGTCTCGACAATCTGGTTGTCTCCAAGTTTCACACGAATGTTCCTATCAGTGAACTTCGTGGCCTTAAGTTGATGTTTCTCGACCCACTGTCTGGACACGTAGATTGTGGTTGCTCCACAGTCCAACAGCATTCTTTGGGTCGAAATGGTCGCGCCACTAACGGTGATCTCCCCCTCGACGGAGAACAGTGGGCGCGACTTGTAGACGAGAGGGTTTTCGCACAGAACGTTAAGGCTGATATTCCCAAACTTAACGGATCCGGCTGTGTTCTCCTCCACGACAAGACCCTCATTCACTGACGTGGTTGCCCGTTTCCCTGCTTTTCTTGCTCCTTTTTCCAAAGGAAGCAGTTGGCCTTGATGTGGCCAGGTTTCTTGCAGTGGAAACAGGTACGACCTTCGGCTCGTTTCGGGTTAGTCTTCGGTTTGAAACGCCCTTTACCACGGAACGCTTTTTCCTTGAACGACTTGTCGTGACTCGGCGCTTGATCTGTGGACGACTTCCGCTTGTCTTGACGAGTGTGACGTTCGCGCGACTCGTCGACGAAGTGTGTCACCTCGTACTTGACAGCAAGGTCCATTGAG